CCAGCAGTGTTAAAGCATTTAAATGTAGCGCATCTTTTGTACCCAGTCCTGCAGTCCTTTCAGGGCGGGGAAGCTGAGGTGGTTTATGTCAATATATCCTTTGAATTTGGTGAAGTTTGGACAAGAAACAAAGGGGAAACAGTAGGTTGGGATTTGGGGGTTGTTTGGGGTTTTTAAATAACATTTAAAATAGGGTTTGGGATTTTTTTAGTTAATTCTTTCATAAGCAAGGACTAGGTGTGTAATGGCATCAGCAGCACCTAGGGCTGCGCTCTGCGATGGATTAAATGAAATGAAAAGCTGAGATTGGCCTTGTTCCATGTTTGTGTAATGCTGTGCTAGGTCAATGTGCCGGATCTTAAATAAAACCCAATATCTAGGGAAGATCAGAAAGATCCTTTGCTATTCCAGCCACGGGGTTTGGGGTTTTGGTGGTTTTTTTCTCTTAATCTTTTTCTATTTTTATTTTACTTGGGTCACTTCACTGCTCTGGTGCTTGTTGAGCTACTTCATAACACAAATTAATTCCTTTATGAAGTAGAGAAATGGAACTCTTTCTGTAAATAAGGTTTTACGCAGCCAGGTTCCAGCTTGCAGTATTATTGCTTGCTTTGTAATGTCCTGTAGTTTAAATTAAAAAAACAAACAAACATTACAGCATTTTGAGCCTTTAATTATGCAGAAGATTAATTTTAATGCTCTAATATCATTAGGCTAGACAGCACACATTAGCCAGTACATTGGCTTTGGCAAGCGAGAAAAAAATATTTCTCAAGTCACGTAAAATATTACTTGAAACTCCGATTACTATTAAAAGCTCCGTACTTCAGGGAAAGCCAATACTCTCCAAGTCATTTTTTTGTGCTTTACCCCTTCTTTAACGACATTTAATTGTGTTTGAGTTTCTCTGCCAACCTTTTTTTGAGCAACGCTTTTCCAAATTCTTCCTTGGAGAGAGGAAGAGAGATTTAAATAACGTAATCTGGAGGTGACTCCTAATTCAGGTGTCCATCCAGGCTGAATGAGGAATTGCAAGTCTCTACCGTACGCTGGGAAATACGGATGCTGAATTTCAGGAGCAAGGAGAAAGGGCTGTATAACCACATTTTTGTTTCTTGGACTAAAGGCCAGGAGTCTTCTTTTATGATCTCTGGAGATATGATAGAAATTGGGATAAGAGGAACCTCTCAAGCACGTGGTGGTAAGCGTGAGCTCTTGGCTTTTAACAGTATTTCTTTGGGGTTTTCAGCAGAAGCGTGCGCTTATTACAGAGCGGTTTGGTTAGCCACAAATCATACCCCGCTCTATTCCCTTTAGTGGTAGCTGATCTGATTTGACTGGGAGACTGCTTGGACCCAAGACCTCTAAGAATAACCTGATTGCTGCAGCGCTTACTCCTGAGGGTCCTTCTCGTAGCTATCATCTGCCTGCCTAAAAACACGAGGCATTAATCCACCTCCTCCCTGATGTGGCGGGGCAGCACGGGGGAGACTTGCAGGTGTATCCCATATTTTGTGATGGAGGCGACATCTTTTCAGGGATGAATCAAATTATTTGCTTGTTCCTCCGGCACTTTACAGAATGCACCTTCTGTCTAACACTCAGAGAAACAATGCCTTTATTTTTTGCTGCAGAGAGAAATGAATCTGTTTGGACTGCAAAGGCTTTCCCTTAAACATCTTTATTCTCCAGCAGTTCTTTTTTATAGCTCAAGAAAACGAATTTCTCAGTGTTTGTAGGAAGAGACCGGAGCTGAGCGGAGCTGACTTCTGGGATCCCAGGGAACCTCTACTCTTTCTTTTCCACTGGCATTAGGTCTCCACCAGATTTCCAAGGTCAGAGGTTGTCTACAGGAGCACCTGGGGTGTATTCTTCTTATTTTGCAGGAATTGCAGTATGCTTGGTTTTCCTTTTTATTTTACATTGTATTCTATCTACTCTTAAGTTGTATTAGCCTGCCTAATGAAGGTAATAATTTTAGTGGTTTGGTCTCAATGTTTGGTAGCAGCTGGTTCATCTGTAGCCTGCTCATCAGCACCATTGGTCTTGCTTATAATCCCCTACAAAATGGGGAAGATTTGGTAGGTTTTGGAGCATTAAACCACTGAAACTGCAGGTTTTTATCCTGCAAGCAGGACGTTGTACCTGGGTGTCTGATTTTTTGTTGCTAGCTGTTTCGGTTCTGAGCATTTGCCAACATGTGGGATTAGAGGAGACGAGGTTTTCAGGATGGGCCGGAGCTGTTATCTGCAAAGGGCAAGAGCACGCATCTTTTGAAAGAATTGGCTCCTATTCATCTTCATTACAAGGAAAAAAAATACAGATGATATCAAGAGAGGAACTCAGTGCTCAACCTCAATCCTTACTGAAACCGTTGCTCCAGTTACAAGACACACAGTTGCTTTTGCTATTAAATTCTTTTTTTTTCTCTAGTAGCTTTGCTGGCTGCAGTGAGGGACCAGCACTTCTCGGGGAACAAAACAGGAAAAATTTTGTTGGTGGAGTGAAATTTCTAAAGGCGGCGGTGCTACCAGAGACTTGAAGCCTTTAGGACATGCTCCGAATGCTCACCTTTGATGTAATCTTTCTATCATGGCTGTTACAGAAGCAAAGAGGAAAATAAGAGATTGATGTCTGTCCCAGGCAGAACTCTGAGGAACACAGGAAGCCAAAAGAGCTTAATACACATTGAATTCAAAGGGCTGTTTCCTGCAGAGCTAATTTATGAGACTTATTTCAGTAAAAAGTAGCCCAACTGATGGCGAGTCCCTGGGTTTCTTAGCTCTGGAGGCTGTAACAAGCAGCTTGGGGCAGTAATTGGAAATATCTTGGAGAAATATCTCCAGCACCCAAAGCCGGAGAGTCAGAAACATAAATCAGGTATCGCCTTTTTCTTCATTTGCTGCCATAGCCCATTGGAATGTATTTTCTTTCCCATGAACTGTAAGGCGATGGTGAGTCTTTGCTTTGGTTGTTAATGGCACATTGGCTAAAAAAAAAAAAATAATAAAAATTTAAGAGCTGGTATTAATTTATGCTTGGCAGTTGGCACTCACATCAGAGGGGAGACTTCTCTGTCTTGCTTGGTGGGTTGTGGACTCGCTGGGGTTGGCATCTCCTGCAGAAGGATACTCCACTGGAGAATGTGATGGAGCTGGAGAAATGGGTCTGCTGAGCAGATTTCTCCAGTGGCGATGTTATCGCCAGTAATGATGTCCAGGATAGTCTGGGAAGAAGGATTTTGTTATTCTTTCCAGTCCTACGGCAGCTAGAGGTTTTAATTTGGTTGAGCTTTGCGATGGAATTGTGCTTGTGTTATAATTCAAATTATAAAAGGGGAATATCTTAAAAAAAGAAAGAATTAAAGGAGCAGAAGTCATAAAGTAGGCAAAACTTAGCAAGGACATAAAAGTGAGGTGTGACTTCTAATGTGGATCAGTGTTTTCACTCCTGTTATCTCTTGTATTTTTGTAAGCAGCAATAAGCCGAGAGCTCAGCGGTATGCTGGGTCTGCTGGTGTCCCTTCTCCAGTGGAAAGAAATCACCACTGAGCACATCAACATGGGCTGAAAACAAGCCCTGGAGGTGTGTGAATGCAGGCAAAAATGAACCTGTGTTTGAGAACCAATTTGATTATTGGTGTGCATGCAAAATGCTTAATTTGGGGGGACAAGGAAATGGAGAGAAAGACCACAAGTGTCTGGAGGTCTCCCTTGCCAAGAGCCAAACCAGACACGTTATGTTTTGGTTTCCCTGCAGCTTGGGGCATGCCTCACAGCTGAAACTCGGATTTTCAAATAGCACCAGATAGGACCGCTGCCCCAGTCAGGTTTGGGGTTTGGGAGGGTTGGCACCTAAACTCATGTTCATTTTCTCAGCGTACATTAGCATAAATTCTTCCATTGAGTCAGTTCCTGTAGCAGAAATGAGAATTGAACAGAAAGAAAATCTGATGTCAGCTATTTTAAGAGGGGAAAAATTGAGCAAGGTCTTTGGAGCTCTTGCCAGTATGCCCCAGTCGGCTCTGAAATACGGTCGGGCGTGAGTACAGAGTTACAGGCTGCAGAACTACAGCGCTCAGCCAAGGCTGCTGCCGTGCCTTGGGATTAAAGACAAGTGTCTGGCCAAGCATCCTCCTGCAGGGAAACCCCAAAGCAAGAAGAGGATCTGTGCGACTGAAACAAGGAAAAAGCTGTGAGATTCCATCAAGAGGCTCGATGGCATCGTGTCCTTTATCTAGCTTTCATCTGCCAAAAAAAGGTGGGGGAAAAAAAAAATGTATGTTGAGAAGCAATAATGTTAACATCCTGATGGTTGAGGAAGGGAACACCTCAAACCTTTGCCAGCCCCAGATCCGCAACCCTGAGTTTATTTCTGTGCATTTAAAAGTGAAACATTGTTTTACACCATGGATGTTTTCCCTAGCGTAGTTTGAGCTTGAGCGGAGTGAAATTCTGTAAAATTAAGAACTTTGGGCTTAATCAATGAAATTACTTGGCTATGGCAGCACGGAGGTCATTACTGTGCAGACTTGACCCCCTCCTTGGAAGAAATCCCCCCCAAAAGCGTGGAAGTGGCATCACCAAGCCAAGAAGGCATCGTATTGAGGCAGTGGGGCTTGATGTCCAGCCTTAAAACAGCAGTGTGAGTTTTGAAAACCACTACATTTTCACTAAATTGTAGCAGATTTTCTGGTGGAGAGAACTGCGGAGCCTCGATTAGGTCCACGCTTTGCTAAATGACAGAAATTACCACCTGCGTGGGCACCTGGTCCTTACCCAACCCCGGTTTCACCCCAGGACAGTGAGAATAACTCGGCTGCTCTTGCGAGGGTGCAGTGGACTTCTGTCAGCGTAATAAAAGTCAATCCCCGGTTGTGTAAGGCAAAGCCGTTTTGCAATCCCTGCCTCAACACTCCTCTGAGCCCCAGGACATTCAGGATTACTGCTGGGGCTCTGCCCGGCTCTTAAGAGTTTTTCTGCCGGGTGCTGCGATGGATGGGGCGTGCAGGACTCGTTTGGGAGTTCTGGATGATATTTCCAGCTCCTCCATGAACCATCAGTTCTGTGAACGACCAAATGATGTCTGAATATTTGAATTAAACTTTTTTTTTTTTTTAATTAACCTTTGCTTTTGTGGTGCTTAGCATGAAGCTAAAACTCTTTCATCGGTGACGAGAGCTCCTGTTGTGCTTTGGGTTGGGGCCAGCATGCCAAGCGTTGCGATTTCCGCAGCCCACCGTGTTCCTGCAAGCCCACAGTCACCCTCCAAACAGCGAAACGCTTGCTCTTAACCCGCTGAGGCTCCTACGTATCTTTTGGGGCAGGGGGGATGTAACAAATCCAGTTTCCTCTTTGCCCATAGGAACAGAATAGGCCCTTATTAACTCTCCTTTTCATTTATCCGTAGTTGAAGAGCCTTTCAAAATCGTATTTTATTGTGGTAAGTGCACACTGCGGGGTTTTTTTCCATAGTATCTGCTAGAAACCAAAGGCTGGAGCTGGAAATCTGTTTGCAGTAAACTTCAGTCACGAAATCAATTCTGTTTACGTGCTGTGTTAAATACGCGTATGTGCCTAGTGTCAGAATTTAAGCTGGTAGCACTTGCAACAAATTATGAGCATATTGTATTAATGGGTTTGTCTCCTTAATATACTGTGTGGTTTCTCTTACCCTTCGGGGGGAAAAAAAAAAGTCATTGGAGTAAATCACTGCTGGTCTTAGAGTATTATATGGTGTTTTCTTTAAATCAGTTGGCCAGGGAAATTAATGAACGGTGGAGTTGTTAACCTGCTTTTAAATTGAAATATAAATCCAGCTCAGGAGAGACGGTAGCACTGCAAGGGAAAGGGAGTCATCCTTTTGGATGAGATGCTGGAGTTCTTGGCCTGTGTACGGTCATGGTCCAGGCAATGGTTAATTTTTACAATATTCCATGAGAAAACTACATTGAGAACAATCTTCACTTCTAGTCAATACTTGATCTCTCAAAACAAATCGGTTTCTCAAGTTTTTCTTTTGCCTCGTGTGATCCCTGTGCTGTTGGTAGGAAACCCCTTGCTATGGCAAGTGCCATTTCGAACTTGAACAAGCGACTTGTAAAACAATTGCCATGCTTTAATGTCATGCTAACGATACAAAAAGTGGTTATATCCGTCTGAATCCTATGCAAGGCTGCAACTGCTTCGTTATCCCGTATGCAAAACCAGTGCGCACGAGGGAAGCACGTCAACCACGGCCAAATTTGCTCCCTCTGATTTAGTGTTGTAACAGATTTACGCTTACATTGCAGCCCAAACAGCTGTAACTGCACCAAAGACGTGGAAGAAACCAAAAGACCAGACCCAAGCCACTGAGGAGGTGACAGAGGCAGAAACAGAGGTAAGAGGGAACCCCAGTCTTCCTTTATCCAAATTTAATTATGATGATGCTCTCTTGACACTTTATTTGAGGGATGCTGCTTCCTAGTTGTCTCACAAGGACCCCAGGGCAGAGTTTTGGGGGTGAAACTGTGATATTCCCAGCATCCATGAGATCAATGGGTTTAGTCTGTTCCCTGTTGAAGCTCTCCGAGCTTTCTTCGTTCTTGCTTAATTTGATGACCCCCAACATTTCAGAACACATAACTACTGTCCTTCCAGTGAAGGATGAGAGGAAAACGGGTTTGAATCCCTCAGCACTGCCCCGTTTTGGGTCCTCAAGGTGTCGCTATGGTGACATTTGGCAGGTTCTGTTGCTGCACAGTGATGTCAATGTGATGTCATGGCTGAAGGGTAGTTTTCTCAATGACCACCTGATGGAGAAGCTGGGGAAAGGAAAATGTTGAAGTTCTCAGGCAAAACCACTTTGACAGGAATTGGACAAGTAACGCAATTCTCCCCTGCTGCCGTTCTGGTAGGGATATTGCAGGAGGAACCTCTTTGTTTAATATCCTGGGTAAAATTGGGGTCAGAATAGATCACAGAAGGGTTAAGGGAGTAAAAATGTAAATATTCAGAGTGCCCTGTGCATATATCACAACTGATGTCGGCCAGAAGTGGCACAGAGAAGCATTGCTTCTTCACTCCACGTTTTTTCTTCACTTATTATTCGTCTTCTATTTCCTCCATGACTTTCCCCTACCACAAACATCACTGAACCTTTCTGCTCTGAGAGGGTGGTTTTGCAGAGTAAATCTTGAGTCCCACGGATGCTGCTTCATCCTTTGTCTAAGCAAGCATTTGCAGTTTCTCCTCCGAAAGAGCAGATAGGCTCACTTACGCATTACAAATGGTACAGAAGCTCTCTCCTGTCTGTTTGTGGGGAAGTAGATGCTTAAAATGCTGACGTGCAAGGTATCATGCTGCGACAGCTGGCCTGGGCGCAATGGAAAAGCTGATGATTGGGTAATCCAAGGAAATTAAAAGCATCCCTGTGCGCGTTTTCAAGCCAGAGAGTGAAGGATGTTGCCGGGGCTGTGCCAGCACGTTTACACTCTGTAATGTTTTCTTCATCATTTATTGGAGGAGCCTGGTCTCCCAGAGTACTCGGCATTTTCACCGATGATAATTTTTCAGAGTATTCCCTTGAAAAATCAGCAAAAAGCGTTTTAGGATGCAGTGCCCTCATGTAGGGAGGCGAAACGCTCGAGGGCCTCTTCCGGAGCATCCTCAATTAAGCCTTGCCTTTGTTTCATGCTTGGACATGTTGGGGTTTCTCCCAGGAGAAGTGCACTCCTAACGCCACCTCTGCCTGAATGCAGAATAAGGCTGTGTCCTTGGAGAGCTCTAAAATTAACAGCCAGGGATACCATTAATGTTTTTTCCTGAAACAGAGATGCTGCAATTGTGGCTGTGTGTCACATTACCTTCTTTATTGGGATCCGCTCCAATTAGCAGCAGGAAGTGTACGCTTAAAGGAAGGATCCCCCCAGAACGAGCACGGCGTGCCCTTTAAAGTAGCCAATGAGCTGCGGGAGAGGGGAGAAGCGAGGTTGTCTTTCTCGGTTGGGATTGCTCATGGCTGTTGTGCTGTAGGGCTTAACAGTTCCTTCCATCCGATCCAAATAGCTCCTGGGGATTTCACGGGTAGCACTGAGTCTTTCCCGTTGCACTGTTAATTATCAGTGGGTTATCTCCAGGAACGAACCGATAAATCATCGGTTGTTCTGTGTGTTGTTCTGTGTCGCCGATTAAGATGCATACATATTTCTGCTACACACAAAAATGCTGTATGAATAAACAAAGAGCCGTCTTGCTTCGATTTTGGCAGGGTGTTTTTAACATAACCTCTCTTTCCATCTGTGCTTCAGCCTAAAGTAGAAGAGGAACTTTCAGGTGACAAAGTACTTGAATCTGAACAGGAGAAAATGAGCCATGGGTTTCAACTGGAGAGAGACCCCTCTGAACTTAAAAAAGCGAAACCTGTGGAAGAAAATGGAGAGCAGGAAGCAGAGCCTGTGCGGAACGGTGCTGAGAGCATTTCAGAGGGAGAAGGAACCGATGCAAACTCTGGCTTCACAGAGAGCTCCAGCGAAGGTCCAGTGTACCAGTATAAACCAGGTAAATCCTGTTTCAGACTCGTCTGTGCTTGCTTGGTTTTCTGCCTCCCTCCTGTAAGGGCTGCTAACGCCCTGAGCATCCTCCCTGTGGAAGGAAGGATCTTCCCAGTGGGGCTGGAAGGGAGTACGGTGTTTCACTGTGTCCAGCTCTGCCGGGATCCACTAACCAACAGGCACAAGAGACCTTCGGGGGGTGGGGGGACACGAGAGGAAAATTGTTTTTTTTCTTGCTGGTGGTAATGAAGAGAAGAGAAAAACCCCAATTACTTGAATTTATTGCACGTGTGGATGTTAGCTGCAGCGCAGTGGAAATGGCGGCAAATTGGTTCTCATGTGACTGACAGCTGAGAACAGTCCAAGAAATTCCATATAAGCAGACGTACTTCTTAAATAAGAGATTGGAAAGTTCTGATTGGGTACAAAATACCAGCATTTGTGTTTTCTGATTGGGTACGAAATACCAGCATTTGTGTTTATATAGATTTAATTCCCTGGCTAAACAATTGCACAGACCTTCAGATTCCTAGAAAAGAAAGGAAAAGAACAGCAACAGTATGTGGTTCTCAATCCAGGCTCTGCTATTGAACTGCGAGCATGCAGTTCTTCGGATAAAACAGTTCTAAGTGTGGGCTCACAGGATGTGGTCCTTTCATTGCTGGTAAGCACTGGAGGTAGTCTTACCTAAGGGGGGGGGTCGTTATTTATTAAGGTATTTAATTTGTAGACCTGAACCTCTTAATTCACCTCATTAAGACGGACCTTGAGACCGACTTTTCAGTTGCTACCAATTTTTAAGCCATTTCTTATTCAAGTGAAGCTCCCTCCAAATAAATCAGTCATTTTCTTAAAAGCTCAGAAATTAAAGAGTATAAAATAAAGTAAGGAAGGACCATGAGAGCCTGGACAAGGCATCAGGAAGGAGCACCACCATGAAGGGATTACACTGCAGCTGTTATTGCAGTGCTGCTCTGTTCTGACGAAGACCCAGGTTGCTTTTCTGTTACTAATTTGGTGGCATCATATCGGTAGAAGAAAACGTGGAGGCCTCTTGATAGTTTACCACGCACTTCTGATAGCTCACCAGTTCATTAGTTGAGCACATCTTGAAGTTAATCTGTAATTCATCAGCTGTCTCTCTGAAACCCTCGATGGAGTCGGAACGATCCCAGTCAGATCTGGACGTCGTTTTGCTCAGCCGGAAGGGTTGGATCGATCCCTCAGAAAGCAATGCGCATCGGACTTGTCTGCTGCAAAGCAAACCTGGCCACTTGGTGCAATAATCCTTGATTTCAGCTCTGCTCTTTTTAAGAAGGGGGATTTTTGCCTTTCCGTCAACCACAGGAGGAATTCTGTGTTATATCCCAGTCTGTCCCCTTGCTGGGGATCCAGAAAGGCTGCCTGTGATGCTGCCCAGCTGCTTTTCATGTTAAAACAGCTTGTTAAGATCTTTTCAGGAGAAGGAAACTGTACATATAAACTGTTTCTTGTTGCTGTCGGTACTTTTCCATGATAAATGGAGGGTGGTGTGGCAGAGCGGATAGGCAGCTGGCTGGGAATTCTGGCTGGGACACAGCTAGCAAGCCAAACCATTTGTTCTGCACCCTTTTATCCTGAAGCTCTATAGAAATAAAACTGCACAAAGAGCTAAAAATTGTAATTGCTTCCATGTATTTTCGTTCCTAGTTGTTAAAGTCCATCACTTGAAATGAGTTTCTGTTTGTGGCCTCTTCAGGGATGAGGATGGGGAGAACCCAAAGACTTAAAGCTGATGATCGGAGACGAAAATAAAGAGATAATAGAAAACCTTAACGGTGAACCTGAACGGCTGGGTAAATGCAAAACAATGTCGTTCGGCATCGGTGAAGTACGAAGGTGGCATCTCATACAGATGTTTTCCTGGAGATAAAGACATGCCACCTGCTTTGGGCCTGACCGGTTAACCTGGCTGCCGAGCAATTCCCTGTTTCCTATCCTAACTTCAAACAATCTGTGTGGCTGGCAAAGAAAATCCTGTCTCTAGGCTACCAGATGCTAATTTTCCTTGCATTGAGATGGCTGTAGGTTTACATTTTTACTTGCATCAGGCGAGGTCCCCTACACCGCAGCGCTGCCCGGAAAGCCCTCTGAAAAAATGGGTGAAAAGTTGTAATTCCTAGAGCGTGGCCTGTGGTTCTGTTTTCTTTTGGTTCCCACCGTTATCTCCAGTTGTTAAAGGCTCATTGTTTTCAGGTTTTCAAAGGATATTTTTGTTGGGTGCGGGCAGTGCTCTCCTCAGCTCTGCATTCATCACTCCCTTTCACACAGAACTTTTGCCCAGAAACTGGGAATCGTCCCCATTTCATCATGTCACAAGAGAGAGTGGAAGTCGGAATTAAAATGAGATGACGTGGGTTAAAACTGGAATTAGTGATTAGTTCTGCGTGTGGCTGCTGCTGGAGCTGCCTATAGGCTCCCCGTTGTTTATGTTACTTTAAGGCAATGTGTATTCATCTCCTTGCTGCCTTTGGAATTAAAATAAATTAAAATTTCCCAAGCAGCTGTAGCGACCTCTTCCCTTTGGGATTTACCAGAAGCGCATCTCACAGAGCGGAGGATTTTGTTACCTATGAATCTCAGGCACCTTCTCTCCTTATAGAGCAGTGGAAACCCCTGGACCCGGAGGGGAAGAAGCAGTACGACCGGGAATTCTTATTGGATTTCCAGTTCATGCCTGCCTGTATCCAAAAGCCGGAGGGGCTGCCTCCCATAAGCGATGTGGTTCTCGACAAGGTGAGAGGAGAGCCGATCAAACAGGTGCGTGCATCTTTTTTTTAATATAAATAAAGATCCCTAATGAATGCTTTATTCCTTGATGGTTTCGATGCAGACTTTTGTCAGGAAGGGGGAATGTTTGGCTGATGTCACATCACAAAATTCTTCAAATAGAGGCGTTGGTGCCTAATGAATGTGCACAGATGACTTAAAAACAGAAGCATTTTTAATGGCGTCTATCTGGAGTAAGTTGAGAGCTGGTTGTTATTAAAATTTTAAATGATACAACCACAAAGAGCTGAGGATAGAAGCAACGCGTGACTGAATGGAGAGGCAGTGTCTTTTATTGGATCAGTTCTGTGGTTAGAAAGCATAGGCAAGCTTTTGGGCAAACTCCCTTTTTAGTCTGAAAGAGTTGTGTTGGTATTTATGAGCTGATCTAATGAAAGATCTTTTAAAACCTTGATTCTCAAGAAGTTGTGTGATTTTTCTCTCCAGCTTTATTACAGATGTGATTTTCTCTGCTGTATATCTGCGCTTAGTGAAATCCTTGTTATTTCTGAAGTGCTGACACCAAGACCTTATTCTCATCTTCTTTACAACTATGGAGTTCATGCATTTTGATGTAACCACTATAGGCTCGCTCTTAAGATTCGAGCACAGATCAGGATTTGGGTGATTCTCATGTGCAGAAACATTTCCACTCTGAATTTCATACCCAGACAAATTGTAAAACACAGCTTTGTTCCCAGAATTATTTCATCCACCTACTGGTTTTCTGTGATTGCTTCTTACTGTTCTGTCTGCTGTGGAACTCCCTCTGCTCGGCCAGCAATCTGTCTTGTTAACACAAAAGACATTTGTTTGAGGAAGGTGGCAGTTTTGTGATCCTGAACCCAGACCATCACATTAATTTTGCAGAAGGTGGGCCCGTGTTACCGTGATTTTGTCCTCCATAAGACGTGCTCAGCCTTGAAATGTTTCTGAACTCCACCTATTTCCTCAATAGCCACCTGCAGAAGACATGTTTTACATAAATGCTTATTTTTAGTGTAAGCATAGATGCATAAAACTTGCACAGTTTGTTAAAAGCGTTAATTTGGGTATTAAACATGACCACTATGATTTAGCAGAGATGGTCTGTAGACCTGCATGAACTTTGGTACCTCCAGCATCTGCTGAAGAGATCCTGTTTGTTCGTTCCACCCCACGATGCAGGTCAATCAGCCGAAATTGCCCCTGAGGACTCTGGACCCTCGGATACTGCCTCGAGGACCAGACTTTACGCCGGCCTTTGCTGATTTTGGGAGGCAAACCTCCGGTGGAAGAAACGTATCTGGAAGTGTGAGTTTACCCCAACTTGCTGATTTAAAAACTGGCCTTAACACCGATGAAGTCTGTCCTCACGATTTTTGCACACTTACTTTGCTTCAGTGCTGCTGGTTTTGTCAGGATGAATGCAAGGGTGATGTTTTCTTGGCTGTCAAAATTTAGGCAAATTAGAAAAATGTTGCAGATGTTTTTAACTGGTACGTATTGGTCTTAAATGGATTCGATCTCCTTCCCCATTTCCCGCGGGAGAGGTGTGGAAGTGTGTTTCCACTCCAAGGACCTGGCAGTTGCACGTGGGCAAACGCACGTTTCTCGCACAACAACCCGGCATCAGTGTGTGTTGTCATGGGATTCTGTTTTATAAAACACGCCGATAGAGCAAATAGATTTTTACTAACAAAAAAAAAAGTACACAGTGCCTGTGTATGTTCTTGCTTTCTCTATGCTTTCACATGTTCCTTTGCTTTGGTCACTTCATTCCTTGTTTTCTTACCTTTTCCTCTTCTTTTCTTTCACTTTCTCTTCTTTTCCCTGTGTCTGGCTTTGCCCGAATTCTGAAATCCCTCTCTGAATTCTTCATTCTTGCCTTTGCCGTCTCTTTTTCTTGGGGTGCGGGTGCCCCCCAGCGTGGTGCTGCCCAGTCAGCCGCAGCTGGAGGATGGAGGCTGCCTCCATTAGGTGCAATCATTGATTTTTCATCGATCTATTAAGATACATCCAATGTATCCATCTAGATACATCTAATGACATAGCCATCATTTATCTTTCAAAACTGCTGCTTTCAGAAGAGTTCACTGAATAACCTTGACTTCCAAGCATGCGGATTTCCAGGAGGCTCAGAGCCAAACCCGTCGATTTTGAGTTGATGTAATATTTCTGGTTTGAGAGTGGTCTCATGGCTGGTGCCTCAGTTCTGGGGTGTGCGGCCGTGTCTTGGAGTAGCTGCGGTGTCATGGTTTCTCTCGGAGCACCACCCGGTCCCGAAACCTCGATGCTGTTTGAGGTCGACATCGCTTCCTGTATTTAGGACTTGCAGGTTGTACTCCGGCGCCTTCTCTCCTTTCGTGCGCTGAATGTCCCAAGCCTCTCGGCATCTTGGTAACATCCCTGTCGCTCTTTCTCTCTCCGCAGGCCTGCAAAGTGCAGAGCAACCCTGGATTGCCTTCCCTGGCTCGGTGCGGTTCCCCAGCATGCCCTCTCTTGGTCTCGCCTCACCCACCATTGAGGAACCTGCCGATAGGGGTAAGCCGAATCCCCCCCTTTCCCCCCGAATCTTTGCACCTTTTTGTAGAGTTGTCTTTTTCCCTAACACCCGCTATTGATAAAGAACGACTGGCAGAAAACTTTACAAAAAGGTGCAACAGTGTTTAAAAAAAAAACGAAACAAGACTTGCATTGTACCCCTCTAGGCAGTCTTCAGTGGTGGGTGGGACATCACCAGCTGAGGGCATGCTGGGACGTTGGCCTGAGCGGGATCCGCGAGGGGTCTGCACTTTGCAGACCTGTGGAAAGGGGGAGAAAAGGTAAGTCCCGCTTACCCCGTTCATTTGGAGCATTCAGCACATAACATACATCTTACATTTGCGCCTTTACAGAGTAGAGCCTTTCTTTGCATTTTTCTTGAGGAGGGTTGGAAGGTAACGTTCTTTAACAAGCCCCGCTGTCCTGTGACATTGGCGGTTATAGGATGAGAGGGTTTTCAGCCCTGAGCAAAATCAGACGTTATCTTATCGTAAAGCATGGCAAAAAATCTGCGTGTGCGCTGTCTGTCCACTCGGTCATTCCACCTCTACACAGGCCATGCCCATAAACCATTAAACCCCACTGCCTATTCCTTGCCCTTGAAATAATGTCGAGCAGCTCAGCGCTAACAAGCTTTTGGCACGTCGAGAATCTTTTGGTTTGCTTCCTTGGCTTTTGTCTTTTATTTCCTTCTTTTTTTCGCTTCAACATGTTGCGTGACTGTTTTTAGAACTAACAAATGTCGCATTGAACAACACAAGGGGTGTAATTACACAGGATCAAAATACAGCTAATAAATGCATTTTGGTGTAGGCAAGAAGTTAGATGAGTGCAGCGGGTAATGAGGTGCAAGGGTTGGAGAGGACCGGCCTGGCCCCATGCACCAAGGCGGGATGCGTCTGCTTTTATGCTTCTTGAGAGGTGATGGAAACTCGAGCTGCCTCGATTCTTGTGCTTCCCCGGAAGGCAGAGTTGCTCCTAGCACCTAACCTCAGTTTTGCCTTCTGCCTTTGACGCCTGTTGGAGAGGGAGCAGCAGTTCTTTAATTTCTTGGATGTTTTTTAAAGCATTGCCATGATTTGTGTCCTAAGAGTGGAAGCGGACATTGAGGGAGAGTGCCAGGTCGTGCCGTGTTGCTGTGAGGTTTTGGCTCCTCTGCAGGAGGCTTGTCCCTGTTTCTTTCTGCTTTCCTTTTTTCCCCCCTCTTCATCCAGAAGACAGGTACTTCAGATTAATGTAGTAACATTTGGTAAGCACTTCACCGTGCCTTTGGTGGAAGATATGAGTGCAGTGCAAGCTGTAGCACTACAATCGCAGGTGCTGCAGAACCATTATTGTTTACTTGGCCTGGGTTACAAAAAGGAGGCCCGGCATGCGCTTACGCACCTCTTTAACTTGCCGCTTTGTAAATTTGGAACCAAAAGAGGCCCAGATTTTTTCTGTTAAAAGTTTGAGCAGTGTATTACTTTATCACACGTTCAAAGGAGGCTTCTGTTCACTGCTTTGAAAGTCTAAGCGAAGGGTTTGAACCAAGTTTATTCACAGATATTAAAAAAATAGAATCTTAAAGAAAGGCTTTGTTCTACTAATGCACTTAAAGGTCTGGTCTTGAAGGCAGCCAGATTAGAGAAGGCTGTGGCATGTAACGTGGTTGATATTCAGGAGATGCAAGAGTGGCCCTTGCATCCATCGGTTTTGCAAGGGAAATAGTCACCTCCTCCAGGGCGGTGCATTAGCTCGAAAAGCCAACGCTTCGGCTTTGTGTGGACCCGTACCCCAGGAAGCACTGGGCCTCTGCGGCTCTGTCCTCGCACGTTACAGCTCAGCTGTGGTGGGAAGGTCCTTCAGACCAGAGCTGCCTCCACGCAAGAGAAACAGGGTGGCCTCAGGTTACCTCTCGTCAGCTCTGCCAGTGTTCCTCAGGGAAATGAGCGCAAACATTTTGATTTTCAGGGCATGCTGCCAGTCTGGTTCTGGTTTCAGAGTTTTCTGTGGGCAAGGAGGTGTGTGATGAGGTCTAGGGCCACGTGGCTGAAACTGGTTGGTTTTCTGTTGCAATATTGTCTGGTTTTTCAGCCGGAGGGAAGTTTCTTCTCTCCATGGCTGTACATTTGCAGCGTGGTTAGAACCTGGTCAGCAAAATGGTGTGAAATTGCATAAAACCAGAAGCAGATGTTTCAACGCAGGGCTGCGCAGCAGGCTTTGCTGCGTCACACCAGTGTCGATGGAGGGCTCTGGGTGGCAGCGGAGAGGGGTCGTAGGGAGGGAGTGACAACTGTTTTAGGAAGGCATCTGACACACGAAAGCGTTGTGACAGCTCCCAGTTCTCGCTGCCTTGTTCCACTGTTGATTTCTTGGGATTGATCAACTCGTGCAGTTGCATTACAATTACAGTGTGCACCCAAAAAAGTTTGAACCACCCTGATGGGTTATTTCTGTGTGTGCCAGCGGGATCTGAACGCAGGTCTTCCTTGGTGGAGGGGCAGCGTGCTAACAGGCTGCACCACTTAGCCCTCTTCCATGCATGGCCTCGGTGTACAAAGCACGTCATGGCATGAGGTCATTTGACAACATCTTATTCTGTAGCTGTTACCACGAAACTAAGCCCAAAGGAAAACTCCAGCAGTGGTGGTGATTATGTTCGTTTGCTTTATCAGCGGCACATATTTACATTGTCAAAGCCAAGTGGTTCAAATCGCGGGTAAAAACTCCTTCCTTTAAGGAGGGTTTTCTTTTTTAATTATGTGCAAAGGTGGGTTTGGGGCTGATAGATGGCATGGGAGGCACCAGCTAAGAGCCTCTCCTCATGTATTCAGTGAAGCTGTTTGAATAACTGAGATGGTCTTGCCTCTCTGATGCTCACTGAATCCCTTTGTGGAACAAAGAAATGTTTTAAATGCCCCATCTTTCATGTGAAGGTTGCCTGCTGCCCGCTGAAGAGGTTAATTACTTCTGTGGAAAATAATGGGGTTTGATAATGGAGTTTTGTTGCTGCGCTAATTTTTACACTGAGGTTGGACATTTCTAATAAATTAATTCAGAACTATGAAAGAGTGCAGGGGAAAAATAACCTCCTGAAAACATCGATACCTTTAGTCTTTAAGTAGAAGCTCCCAGATGATGCAGAGGGAGCCGGGGGTGCCTTATGCCCTCTGCCTTGTACAACTGATGAAAAACTCCATGGTTTCCGCCGTTTTCATACCTGGTTTGACCAGGAGGAGAGCATCGTGTTATGCGGGATTGCAGAGAAGCACTCGATGCCGTTTCAAACAAAGTATTGGGTTTCCCTTTCTTCTGTGAAACCACAAAGAGATTGACCCACATCTCTCAGGATCCGTGTTTCTGCAGTGCAGGAGCAGCACTGATGCTCATTTCTGTGTGTTTTATGTAATTCCTGTCTCAAAAATGGCTCTGTTTGAAGCAATCTCCAATAAAACTTAACATTTTGGGGAGAGCTGCTAATTTATCACTATCTAATTGCTTGGGATGGCGCATTTGAAATACACCTGTAAGGACTGATTTTGTCCTTAAATATGCCTTCACTATGATGTTTCAGTTACGCAGTTTCTGGCTTTCTAGAGGCAGTTTTGGTCAGTCAGGTTGAGTTCTGCTGCACTTAAGTAGCATCCAGAGCATCGCCAATGTGTGTAGGCAGTCGTCATCCCATATCTATTTCGGGAAAAGCTGCCCATGAGAAACATGTTTGGTGTCTTCATGTTCCCTCTGACCAACCCGGAGCAGTGTGCTGGGTCAGAGGGAGTCCTCAAAGCCCTAGGAGGAGTTGCTGATTGTCGGTGTTGGCGTGCGCCCCGGAGTTTTTTTATCGAGAATGCGAGTTTAAAAGGGGATATAACAAGGAATGTTTTTGTCCTAGTTGTTGAATGTTGGACCGAGGAGATCTCAGCCAGGCCAGAGGAGAGAGCCGAGGAAGATCATCACTGTGTGTGTGAAGGAGGATGTCCACCTCAAGAAGGCAGAGAACGCCTGGAAGCCAAGCCTGAAGAGAGAAAACCAAACAGAGGACCCAGAAAATGTCAAAACCCAGGTGAGGGCATTAGCAAGTGCTTCTGAGTACGGCAGTCAGTAAGAGGAGGAGGGTGGTAATTGGCCTTTGCCGTTGTGTAAGACACTGAAAAAGGGCAACGAATTCCAGTTTGAATCACAGCTTTCCCCTACCTTGATTATTTCTTTCATCTGTTTATTCTTGACCTGGAGTTTAAATGGCAATCCTGTATATTAAGCAAGTCTAAATAGGGAACACTAGACAACCTCCTACTGCTCTTCCAAGGTTGTTTTTCTATTGCTATTTTACTAGAATATTTCTGTCTCTATTCTAAAGCAAACAACCTCAGACTTCCAGCACAGAACTTGCTTTTCATCCCCTTTTAGACTATGCTTCTGCCCTGAACCTCCACAAGACTGAGGTTCCTCTGTCGGTTTGTCCTGCCCAGCCCACAGCGCCGTGTCTGAAGCTTGCTGTGTCTTTCTCCCCCTCCCCTCCTCCGTGGGGCAGCCACTCTGGGCGGAGGTGTTTGCCCAGTGGTCAGGCTTGTAATTTGTAGGATAGTCTTGAAGGACACTGGAATTCTGTTTTCGGGGCTAACGACAGTGTTGTTGACCTAATTATCATTCTGGATAGAAAAAAAAAAGTGTCTTAAAGTAAATATAGGAGAAGTTGATTACCTCTAGTTACAGGAGAAGGCGGCCGCTCCCTGTTAATTTATATCTCACGGCTAAATTGATATTAGGAAGAATATTTCAGAAGGGTGGCAGCAAGGCTTTGTGCCTCTGTCACACTTGAAAAAAGCACTTGGATGTTTCCAAAAATCCCGCCCTGCAGCTTTGGTCCTTGGTAGCTGGTAGCTGAGTTAGAACTGGAACTAGACTGTGCGCAAATGTGTGTCCGTGCGTAACTCAGCTTCCTCGAAGTTCCTGTAGGACATCACCTCCATTCACCTTTTAAGATGCATCCTAGCTTATTCCTGAACACCACCTGCTCGATTTGTGCTTAAACTTAGAGTTTTCCTGTCCTTTAGGAGCTGTTCCGCAAGGTACGGAGCATCTTGAACAAGCTGACACCCCAGATGTTCAATCAGCTCATGAAGCAAGTGACAGACCTGACAGTAGATACAGAAGAGAGGTTGAAAGGGGTCATCGACCTGGTCTTCGAGAAGGCTATCGATGAACCGAGCTTCTCGGTGGCGTATGCCAACATGTGCAGATGTCTGGTAACGGTAAGAGCCTCCAAAGTCAAATGGGAAATTCCTCTGCACGGTCGTGAATGTTCTGCACATTATCCCCACAAACTGATTGGCAGTAATATAAATGTGGCAAGAGCAGAGTTAAATGTTAATTTCTGAACGTAGATCAAAATAATTTACACGATGGATTTCTTCTACGTTCGTCAGCCGTGCCTGCAGGCAGAGGGATTTGCTTGGAGCAATGTGTTGTTTGGAGTTGATGACACTTCACTCTGCCTGGTCACAAGATGCAATGAGTCACGTTCAGAAAGTCCAATTTTTCTCTCTCATTTCCAAGGGGAGCCTGAGGTGCCGAGCCAACCTTGGGACAGCTAGTTCCCAGACGGTGAATTTGGGACAAAATAATCCCTTCTTCCCCCCAATCCTTCATGACACACAATGAAGGAGCACAGCTCCACAGTCTTCAGCACACAAGAAGAGTGGTTTTAAGCAGTGTGTCTTTTTAAAGGGTCCTGTGAATGGAAATGTCATCTGCCTCTGGGCGGAGGTGGTGTGAGCCAAGTTTTGAGTGCGACTTTACATGTGAAATGTAAAACTCGGCTGGAAATATTGACGTGATGCTGAACTGTCATGGCCTTGCAGACTTGCGTTGCTGAATATGAATTGCATGATAAAATGTAATGGATGGCTTCTAGGAAACCTTGCTCGCGTGTAGAGTTTAGCTGTTATTTCTGCTGATGTTGTTCTTGCTTCTACAGCTGAAAGTGCCCATGGCAGACAAACCTGGGAGCACAGTAAATTTCCGCAAGTTGCTGTTAAATCGCTGCCAGAAGGAATTTGAAAAGGACAAGGCTGACGATGACGTCTTTGAAAAGAAGCAGAAAGAACTTGAAGCTGCTACCACTGTAAGTGGTATTTTTCCTCATAAATTCTCAGAGCTCCCTCTGAAAGTGATCTCTTTTGAAGATGGCGGTTGGCTGGGGGGGAATTTTGGAGTCGAGAGTTTCATTCTGTCACTGTGGCTGAGCGTAATAAAGAATATCTACCTTGATTAGCAAGTTTATACCAACCTCTTTTTGGGTTTTAGGGGAAAAAGAGTGAACAGGGACACTGGCAACTATAAACGTAAAACTGGATCTTTTGAAGAGTTCTGCACTCTGTGAATATGTTGGTTTAGAGCTGGTTTTCTGTTTTACAGCCAGAGGAGAAGACGCGGCTCCATGACGAGCTGGAAGAAGCCAAGGACAAAGCCCGACGGAGATCCATTGGGAATATAAAATTCATTGGCGAGCTTTTCAAACTGAAAATGCTGACGGAGGCTATCATGCATGACTGTGTGGTGAAGTTGCTGAAAAACCACGATGAGGAGTCCCTCGAGTGCCTTTGCCGCCTGCTAACTACCATTGGCAAGGACCTGGACTTTGAGAAAGCAAAGGTAGGGCAGGACCAGGAGTGAGAGATGAGGCTTTCAGGGCAGGGATGGAAAAATGGGTGTGGGGTGTTTTTCTTTGAGGATTTATTTTTTTCATCAGGAATTTCTGTATGGCATGAGGAAATCATCTGCTCTTCTGTGGATGTTTCATCACAACCTGGCCTCGCTCCCTCCTCTCTGCCCCTTCCTAATAGAGTCTGTACCATTTTCAACAGCGTTCTCCAGTTGCTACTTGTTTCCAAATATTTCATCCAAGGACACAGTCTAAAAGTGCCCAATGTGCCCTGTGGGTTTCTTTTTCCAAATAGAATTTGCCTCTTATCTGTGGTTTCCAAAACATTAAGATGTAGAGTTGTTTCTTTACCACTGAAGGCTTATGTTACCTACAAAATCTACCACTGAACATGTTGTTCAGGTTAAATCTAAGAAAAACCCTCATTAACTGGCCTAAACCCCCACCTGAACCTCGGTGGATGAATTTATTTTGTGTCGTCATCATCTCCAGCTACACTGGAATGAAGCGGCTGTTTTGCAACTGCAGCGCTCCAGCATCCTCCTCCTGACTTCCCAAGAAATGTATATGTAGCGTGGAGCATGACGTGCTCAGTCGGCTTCTCTTGGCACAGACAATCTGCTGCTCCTTCGCAAAAGCCAGGCTTGGGATGAAAAAGCATTCGAGGGTTTTGCCAGAAATCAGTCGGACTCGGCTCTGGAAACAGACTGAGCCAATTGTTTTCAGCTGCTCTGGGAAGGGAGTTCCCTCACAAGTGTGCTGGATCGCAGGGATCATGGCGGATCAATCCCGATCCTTATGGGGAAACAGTTTCCCAAACTATTTTTGTGGAGTGTTGACCAAAACAGCATTGTTTACCACTAATCCCCTCAACTAAATACCCTACACTGTTCACACAGCAGCGGGTGCGTTACTCATGCAGGGATTAAATTTCTCCCTGTGCTTTGGGAAGAAAACAGGGTCTGACTTCTGAGCAGTAGCTGAGGTTGTGTTGGATGAGTCCTGGATGCTGTTTCAGTCTTTGCGAGCATGGAAAGTCTGTAAGAGCCAACATTTCAGTGCGCTAGCCGGGTCTGCAAGCTCGAGCCGTGGCACCGTGTAGCACGGAGTGTGCATGCAGCAGGGAAATGCTTTGCAGATGTTGTGTTACCCGTTGTGAGAAGCTGCCCGCGTCCCGTCTTTGTGATTTGTTATTTCTATCAAGACTGAGTGAGAATCCTTTATTTTCTATTAAAGGGGTAGACGTTTTATTATGTGTTTTTATTGAACCTGAAGTGTTAGTGGTAGTTACAATTAAAGCTTCTGGACAAAGTCCATTTTAAATATTTTCCCTGTCATTCCTAACTTTGGAAACATTTGCTCTGAGCTGAAACTTTCCAAGGCAAGGCCAGACCCAAATTTTAGTAGGGTTTTTCTTGTTTATTTAAGAAATAAGGAAAAGGGTTCAGCTAGTTTTTAGTGAAGGGAGTAGGAAACCTTTTATAAAACTGCCCTGAAACTTTTTGTTAAAAACAGCCAGAGCCCCCATTTTGGGGGAAAAGGCTTTTTGGAGCCTGGTGAGTTGAATTTAGACCTAATGGAGGCTTCTCTGGTGATACCATTTCATGTCTTGGTGCAAACTGATTTGAATTCCATCACATCATGGCTTTCTGGATGAAAAGGAGCTTGTGGGATTTCCCACTACAGCTAAGCCCGTTAAACAGCTTCTTGCTGAGCAGAGCAGTGCTTCTGCCCCTGCTCCTCTTGCCTGACCCCAGCTGAGACAGTTCAGGGAGGTAAAGCATCAAAGCGATGTTCACAGGGTTAGTTTAAAGCCCGTTTAGTTTCCTGAGATGGTTTTTCTTAGGCTGAGGTGAGCACACTTGCATCACTTGAAAAGGAGGAGCTTGGAGGTAGAGCAGGACTCCCCTTTTTGGTGACAGCATAGCTGTACCGTGAAAAAAAGCCCACTTTTTTTTTAATGGATGACAAGTTTATGATGTACATGCAGGGGGTGCAGATTATTTGAGTAACGAATAACGCAGAGAAAGTGTGTGCTAAATGGAGGGGGTGCCCAAAGGGTTGTGCCTCGTTTCCTGCACTGTGCACACTCAAATCCAACATGGGGGAGCGTACAAGACCCAGCTTCTCCAGAGTGCAACTCTGGGTGCCCAGACGCATTTCTGGCACAGAAATGCTGTAATGCAGCACCCACTGACTCCCCACCCGAGGGATTGTTCTCATTTTCTTCCAAGACATGTTGATGATGATGATGTTTCTCTTGTGTAGCCTCGCATGGACCAGTATTTTAATCAGATGGAGAAGATTGTGAAAGAGAGGAAAACGTCTTCAAGGATTCGGTTCATGCTTCAGGATGTAATAGACCTAAGGCTGGTAGGTGCCAACTCATGTAAGTAAATGTCCAGGCTGGAAGAGCTCTCGTCTAAGAGTGGGGATTTACAGTATTTACAGCAGAAATGGGATGTTGGGGGAGGAGATTTGTGCCCCTCATCCCAAAAGTCTGGCTGTAAAGACAAGAAATCTCTCTGTTTTGCCTTCATGAAGGCCAAGGCTGGTAGAGAGGCGAACTGCTTGTGTCGGGTGTTTTGGTTCTGCTTAATGTTAGATGTGCGCCTGCACCGGTTTCTCATGGCCCTCGTCCAGCCCCATTGCAGCTGGACACACCTGAGTTCTTTTCACAGGAGAGGTTGTGGGTGGTTTTTTCCCCACAGCATCCCCTCTGCTTGTCTGTGTCAGTCGCGCTGCTTTGCTGCCTTCGTTCCCATGCACTCTGGGTGTAACTGTTTCCTGCCAGTGCTTACTTGTGCTGATGGGACCAAAATGCTCTGAGATGCGTACCCCACGAGTGAGGGGAACAGTTAGTGGGGCTGTAAAAACTGTGTGGGCTCTTTTTCATGGCGGTACAGGTTTCATCGAAAGATGGTCCTGTATCAGCCTGCATTGCTAGCACAAGCAGGCAGCTGCTGGTTGTTTATTGGCCGTATGGTGCAGCCAAAAGCAAATGGAGGCTGCGCTCCGTCAGAGTGCGATGATGGCAGGTCCACACAAAGCTCTGAAAATGACAGGTAGGAGATAACGTGGTGTAGACAAGTACACACGGAGTGCAGACAGGGATGTTAAAGCTGGAGTCTCATACAGCAAAGGGGGTGTCTATGCCATGTGGTTGAAGACGTGACTGCAGGTTGCACAAACCTTCCCCAGTGCCTGTAATTTCACCCATGTTGGTGCTGGTAGCAGCGTGGCTTTAGCCACGAGACACCACTTGACTGAAGTCCTGAGCGGGTTTTCCTCATACCTCAAATCGCTGTTTTGCAGCCGGTTTGGGGTTTTGTGGAGGCTGAAGTCACCGTTTTGACTGCAGGGTACACAAAAATAACTACCCCACAAGTTGTAATGAGCTTTTAGCAAGATCAAGAGACAGTCTGGTTATTCTGTGGATAGATGGATCTCTGCAGTGTTTGGCTGAATAGACACATCAAGCAGTGGAAATGTTTTGCGGAGAGACAGCTCCACCTCTCTCTGCAGGATTCCCATCTTGGCCATCACGTCCCTGGAGCAGCAAAGCACCATCTCCAGATGAAATGCAGTCGCTTCTTGCTTCTTTATTTTCAGGTTTTTATTTTTTCCCCTCAAACTTGGAGGATGGGCTGCAACAAACAGTGTCAGTAATAAACGGATAGACAGTGACAGCAGCCTCCCTCTCGTACACCTGTTTCCTCCAAACCTAGAAAGACTGGAAAACTGGGAACGTGCAGGGTGCTAGGAGTTAAAATGTCTTGAATTCAGTCATGCCTCTCCCAAGTCAGGTCTTCACCGCAGCCTCCATTCTCCACCAAAACATATACCACAGTCTTTATACCAGAACACGTGGCTTTGGCCTGTGGTGCTGGGATAACCATGTCTGCAACGTGACCCAGCTCCACAAAGACTTCCCCAGTCCCTCGGGGAGCAGCCCCTCGAGGACATCACAAGGCCTCATTTGTAGTGTTCAAAGTTCACGATGCTCCCCTGGAAGTATCTCTGAGCACATTGTTTGTTCCTTTCCTAGTGCAACTGGGTGTCACGGAGAGCAGACCAGGGCCCGAAGACCATTGAGCAGATTCATAAAGAAGCCAAGATTGAAGAGCAAGAAGAACAGAGGAAGGTCCAACAGCTCATGACCAAAGAGAAGAGGAGACCAGGTAAAGTAAAAGCCAAGCTGGCTGCTTGTTTCACTCATTTCACATCCAGTGGCCATAGTCAGAATCCCACATACAAGTCTGGTTTTTTTCGTAAGTGTAGTGAGCAAAGGGAATTGGGGCCTGATTACAGCCGAGGCTGGAGAAGGAGCAGACTTGCCGTGGAATGGTTGTGTGGATTTTACGGGGGCAAATCCCTTGGGTAACAATAAACAATCGCAGGCCAATAGTGCTTAAGTTTTGCGTTCACGCAAACCCTGTTTGATTTCATGACAGGCCGCCAGCAATCTGTTATAACAAGTTACTACGAAGGAGTCAGATTTGCCATCCCTTCTTGCACAGAGCAGCATCTAATTTCGAGAGTGACCGTGTTCTCTTTAGCTGTTAAAGTTGTGAGGTGTTAACTCAGCGTGAGAAAGTGTGTCGGCATTACCTTAAATCTCTACCAGCCCTTGAGGCTGGCACTCTACCTGCAGATGAATTTGGAGTGACTCGGAAAATGAAGACTGGGACAGAGCAGGGCAAGGAGAAAGTAATCTGGGATTCTTTAATACCAAGGATTGTCAAATGAAAGTGCCATGAAAACAGGGCATAAAGAAAACGCACATAGGTTTTGTTTTAATTATCCTAAAACTGGCATCAGGAGAAGGTAAGGGACTCAGGACTGCCTGATGGTTCTGTGTCTAGACTAGCCCAGCACTGCTGAGATCAGTGCTGCAAACGCAGCTTTGGGTTAGCAATGGTGTCCTGTCTGCTCCTTTGGCGAGCTTGTGAACGCTCAGTATATGCAGCCACATCCAGAGCACACGCTGAGAAATCTGACCAGGAATAATTGCTACCACAGCCAGCCCTTGAGAATGGTGAGGTCTTTTATGTCAAGGCTATTTCGTAATAATAAAGTCAGGCAAGCTAGTTGTGTCACCTTGGGCTGAGGAAACACTCCAAAACCCATCATTTCTTCACAGAATTGGGCTGAGGCTTAGCAGAAACATGCCATTTTCTTTTCCTCCTCCTGCATTCTCCCGGGGTGCCACTGGAGCAGCAGGGATGAGCTAAGGGCAGCTGTGTTTGTCATCTGGCAGGTGTCCAGCGGGTCGATGAAGGCGGTTGGAACACTGTGCAGGGGGCAAAGAACAGCAGAGTGCTGGACCCCACCAAGTTCCTTAAAATCACCAAGGTAGGTGCCAGCACAAGACTCGTTCAGAGCAACAAAAATGCTGAGGTCTTACCTTATTGTATCTGCCTGTCTAGGAAAGACTGTTACAGTGTTTACAGGTCAAAACTTGGTTTTTTGGGACACTTTTAAGTCCCCAGAGTTAGCACTGTACGTAAATAAAGCATGAAGGAAGACTCTGTTGTCTTCTGAACGTTCCTATTTTGCTTGTTCTGAGGGAAAGGAGTATGCATATGCTTTTCCTCAGGTTTATAGTGTCCTTTTAGTGACCCAGAAGTTCTCTGAGGTGGAAGATCTATGGTTTTTATTAAAGAGATTGTGAGCTGAGCTATGGTGTGTGATGGTGATAGAGCACGTACATAGCTATTGCAGCAGGAGTCTCAAACAGCCATCTGACAGAAATCCTTTGCTGCCTCAAATTCTCAAGACCCTGTTCTGAGGCTGCTTCTTAGTAGAATGAGGATGCCACATTCACTGCGACCAGAAAATATTCCTGACATGTCGCAGATTGCAGCACTCTGGACTTGGAAGTTTCAAGTCCTACAAGAGCAGCTGCGTCCGCTTTTACAGTGTTTCTGGGCTTCTGCACGGTGCAGTTGCATCCCTCGGTGTGTGTTAAACGTTCACACCCTTCCTCCAGATGAGCATCTTCCTGTCATTTTACCATTAAAATGGTGATTTGAGGACATTTATATCGGGCTGCAGGTTAGGCAAGCTTGGAGATTTCTCTTTTTTTAATGATCTTCGGAACAGCTTTGGGATTTCTCGCCAAGGAGAGCTCTGTCTTTCACATAAATCAGGGTTTTTCCTAGACATTCCTCTGTCCCAATTAATATCACTCTCCCTGAATTTTACTCTCTGTGCCTGGGTGCTCGGAGAGCTGTAAAGCAGAACCTGGGCAGACTGCAGATAAAGCTCGGTTTGTTCCTTGTAAAAGTCATAAAACAGACTCCAAAACTTAATTAGTAGGAGGGATTTGGCCTGCTTTTGTCTGGGCTTACAGCTCATCTGGGAAAAGTTCTTCTACTCCGTTTGGTACAAATACTGTACAGACAGAGCTAGCTGCACCACTGCTGCGTTGTCGGAAAGCGAGGGGAGCTCACACAAAGAGATCTGTGGGGTCACAACCTCCTTGTCAATAAATTCACCTACTGAGCACTGTAAAATCAATGTTCTCTTCTTGTCAGACACTACTTTACCCCTCAAAGTTCTGCAACCTATTGTTGTTCTTTGCCCTCTGAGTTCTGTTTGTTACTGTGCAGATTCCCCCCGGAGCCATGTCTGGTAGGTGGAGAGGACAGCAGAACTCGGCACAAACAAACGGAACGTTTTCAAGCACTCGCATACTGTGCTTTATCCTCCTTACTGAGCTTCAGGGTTCCCAATAAAGGGAAGCGCCCGGTCACCATGAATGTTTTCACTGACACTTTGGAAGAGGCTGTTTGTGAACTCTCTCTAGGCTTTGGTCTTCCAAAAATGTGTTAAAAGTGTATTTTGGTATTCACAAGGCAGGGATTGTTGCCAAAAAATACCCCGTTTATAATTAAGATGTATGATTTGCACTTGTAATGGTGTGTCCTGATGTGTTTTATAGCCCACAATAGATGAGAAGATTCAGCTCGTGCCTAAAGCCCAGTTGGGCAGCTGGGGAAAGGGCAGCAGTGGCGGAGCAAAGGCGAGCGAGATGGGTAAGTCAGGACAGGTCCTCACCCTCTGCTTTGCTGCCAGCCATCCTTGCCAAGAGCGGATCTGGGTGGGAACGCTCGTTTCTGTGTGTGACTGCCTGGCGAGCAGGGTTAAAGTCGGGCAGGATGAGCCTTTTCCCTTCAGTTCTCTCCCCATGGCTCCAAAAAGAGCTATTGCTTAAATGATTTTGTGCTGCCAAGGTGTCAGCAGCTACTGACCTTGTTGTCGCTCCTCTCTGTGTTGTCTTTACAATCTCCCAGACTCCTTGCGACCAAGTGCCACTAGTTTGAACAGATTTTCTGCACTGCAGCCTCCAGTCTCATCTGTATCTGCCTCATCCGCATCCTCGGAATTAGACTCTCGCAGGGCCTTAACTAGGTAAGCTTCGGCCCGCCAGTGATTTTTCCTTTCCGCTGTCCGTACTCCTGCGCTTTCCACTTGCTGCTCTAGTTACCAGCACACAGAAAAAAAATAGGATTTCATGAGTTTCCAGGAACGGCTGGGTCTTTTTCCTGCCCTCTGTACTTTGAGCTAACTTAAACCACATGCATCTTTTATAATACCATAGGAGAGACAGGTGGTATTAATTTTTAAAGCCATCACAGTGAATGTTTTAGTTTCTACCTTTCAGTCACCCTTTACCTAAAGGATACACTACTGGTGCTTTAGAACAGATTAAAAACTCTTCAGATAAAACGTTCTAATAAACAGGTATGCAGGTTGTATTCAACAGCCGTGGATTCAGCCAGGTCAGTTGGTTTATTTATCCAGAAAAACGCACCTAAAAACCTTCCAGAAATTTAGCTGGGCTCTTAAAACGCTCTGGCTGTGCCTGAGCCTTCCCATGAGGTGTGACCGAGTCTGCCCACGCTTCTGCGCCATGGCCGTGCTGTGCTCTCACACCCCCTGGTTTCATCAAGGCTGCAGCCACTCCAGCTCATAGCATGAAACATGTATTAACCCTCAATAATTTATTATCTCTAGGCACGGTTTATAAATGTACAGTTCATTTAAAATGTCCCTGGTTCTTCCAGTACACGCCAGTTGCTGGGCAGTTTTCTTGGGTTTGCCCCTCTGATGTTTTCCCTCCTATTTCACCTAAAACTCTGGCTTACCTGGAGATTATTCCATTTTGGTGTCGTTTTGCCCATCTTACTCATTAACACAGTAATTAATAGGACAGATCCTTGTCACCTGTTGCTGGTAACCTTCACTATTCTGAAACTATTTTTCAATAAATGGGTAAAAAAAATACACCGCTCATACAATTTCACAGTAAAACAGTGCCTTTACGTTCTAAAACTCACCGTTCTATACATAAAATGGGTGCTGTTAGGACTTTATTGCTTTTCTGTGTGTTCTCTAGGAAGCGTTGGCTCTACCTGTCTGCTCTGCAGATATTTGTGTTTGTGCATCTCTGAGACTTGAGTTAATTTCAGTTATGTTCTGCGTAGCTACAACTGTAAAAAGTTGAGACAACAATCGTGCTGGGTTTGGGTCCTGGGTTTTTTCCTTTTACCATAAAGCTTCCCAGTGTCTTTTCTGACATTACTGGCGTTGCGAGCATGGCATCACCTTTAAGCGCCTGTGGTTTTGTTCTGCAGTCGCGGGAGCACGGGCAGGGAGAAGAACGACAAACCGCTCCCACCTTCCCTCTCCCGTCCCAACACCTTCCTGCGGGGCAGCAGCAGTAAAGAGCTGCTGCTCGACAACCAGGCACAAGAGGAGCAGCGGAGGGAGATGCTGGAGACGGTGAAGCAGTTAACAGGCGGCATGGAGGTGGACAGGAACAGCGCAGAGGCGGAGAGGAACAAACCCAAGGAGCCTGGTAAGCGGCTTGTCCACGCTCGGGGAATCTTGCTGGGTGTGTGAAAAGGCAGAAGGGAAAAATCTATCAGAAGTGGTGACAGGTTTCAGTGCAGCGGTGTGAATATTTGGCCCACAGTGACGCATTGTCAAGCTGCGATAGTGGTGATCTGCCTCCCAATGGCTGGTAACGCAGCTGATTCGTACAGGCCTTGGCATCGCCTCCTCTCCCCAGCTCCTCCCTAAGATTCGTCAGAGCTGAACGGCTGGAGAGAGCAGCCAACCACCGTGCCGTGGCATTGTCTTGCCTGCTCGTATCCTGTCACTGTTGCTACTGGTTTCTGGGTTAGAAGTCCCTAAAATCAGCATCAGTTCTGCAGAACTGCTGCTTCAGTGCCCAGTGAAGCTGTATCTACCCTTCCCAAACATTTCCCAGGGCCAGAGCGGTGATCTGGATGTGGGACACACCGTGCACGGTATCTTTAGCACTGCGTTGTGGCCAGCACTCGTCCCAAGCAGGTCTCAGTACAGCGTGGCGTGGCGTCACCTCGTCAGTGCTGCAGCTCCCGCTTTTGGCTCCTGCCAGCTTGAGCTGATTTGTTAGCAAGAAAATACTGAGGACACATAAGGCGATGTTCCCTGCGGATGGAACCGTTGCGATAAGTACAGTGGTTTGCTCCTTCCCTGGGAAAGATCTAGAAACTGCTACAGTGGGGAATACATCTCGACTGCCACGACACAGGGCACGCACATCTTGACACTTTGGGACTTTCTAAAGAGCTTCACAGGGACCAAGGTTTTGGAGAGGTGGTCAGGAGATTGCTTCGGGTTGCTGCCCCCATGGATCAGCACCATTTGAAATTTGCAGCATGCTGTAATGGCTCCAGGTTTAATTCTTTAATGTCGATCGAGAGCTTTGGAGGTGTTGCAGGCTGTGCCATTGCCAGCTGCATTTCTATGAGAAGGTTGATTTACAGAAATATTGGGAGTTCATACAGGGGGAAGTGGAGCCAAGGAAGAAGTGACCCGTGCCCGATGATGGAGCAGGGAACACACCTTGCTCTGGTGACGTCTCTTTTCTGAAAATGATGCGGATTTTCCTTTTCCAAATCTGTGTTGTTTTTTTTTTTTCCTTATATTTCTCCCAGCCAAGCCAGAAGCTCCCCCAGCTCCAGCTCAAGAAAAGCCTTCGCTATCAGAAGAGGAAATAGAGAGAAAATGCAAATCTATCATTGATGAGTTCTTGCATATTAACGATTTTAAGGTAAGCAAAATTAAAACCTCACTTAGCAGAAAGGCCTGGGGGGCTGGAGTGCATTTTCCCCTCCCTGAACTGTGTCTTTGTAAGCACCCAGCTCGCACAGAGGCAGCAGAAGTGGTGGGGCCTGTCAAAATTTGGGCAGCAGCAACTCCGTGTGTGTTTTTAGGAGAGTTGTCTCCCAAACTGCTTTCTGCCCTGCTAGTAAAAAAAAAGAAAAAAAAAAAAATAGCCTGGCTTGTGTGTTATAAGTAGCAAGATGTGTGCGTATCTGTCATGAATCACTGAGCAGCTCCATAACAACAGCAATTTTGGAAGCCGAAAAGCTAGCAGGAAAATAAACTGAGGTTTTCATTCAGTTATCAAAGCATGTGCTGTTCCGATCTGGAGGCAGATAAAGCAAAGCTCAATATTGAAGGAACCACTCCAGAGTATTTTTTAATAAACATTGACAATTCCTGAGCAGCTGTCATCACTTCCTAGTTAAAGGGTGAAATTTTGTTTCCCTTGTAAATGGATTTTTAGCTTGTCCAGGGAATTCGCAAGACGTGGTACATTCGCTGCAAAGCCGATTCGTTTGATCTTTTGCTGAAACAAATTTTTAAAACCTGCCAAGTTGGAAACAGCAGCACTAGGGAGTTCCCAGCTGAGCACCCTAAAAGCAGAGTTGCTGCTTGCACTTTGTGCAATTGGGCTTCCAATTAAAATCGGAAAGAAGAATATTCTTAGGATGGATTGGTTTGGGTTCACATCTAATTATCAGGAGAAATTATTAGATTAAAAAAAAAAAACACGCTTTGATTCACAACGTCCCCCAGCTTGCTGGCCTGGCGGATCCCAGCAGGAGGAGTCGGGGACGGCGCGGCTGGTTAACAAAGTAGCCTCCGGTCCTTTTTATTTTTGTGATAGAGTTCAAAGCCTAACCCCGGCATGTCTGGGGCTAAAGGGCTGCTTCATTTTCTGTGCTTGCAAATACGATGACAGATTTTTATGGCCGGATGGAAATACAAGTTGAATTGCATCAGACAAGCGCACCTCTGGCTGAAAAAAAGTACATCAGGTTGAGGCAGGTTGTTTGCATTAGGGGGTTACTTGAGAACTGTAAATTCTCAGCGCTCTTCAAATGCAGCGTGCAACAAACCTTCTGACTAATTCAGCTTAAATTGACATGAATAAGGCCGTATGTGAGCATGCTCAGGTAGTAGATAGCAGAGCAATAGCCATTTTCCGTGAGTTTAGTCTTCAGTATTTAACCTGACTGTCAATTAAAATCACTGAGCCGTATCCCAGCATCCAGTGACAGCGAGGTCGGCCAGCAGCACGTTCACCCATCTGTCCTGGAGACACCGGGCTCTGTTGGGCATGGAAGAGCTCTGGCCCAAGCACGCGGTGTGGGACTGCCAGGAAAATGCCCGTGGGGGCTCTCGGAATGCATCTGGGCCTGCTGGTTCTTGATAACTGAAGGCATAACCTAAGAGAAAAAGAGCAAACACCTTTAGTCAGGAAGCCCACTGGGATCTGTTGGGCTGAACCTCGCAGCTCAGTGGAAGATCTTTGCCAATGACAGTGGAGGTTTTTGAAGTGTGACGCTTCTCTGCGGGTCTCTATTCAAGAGTGTTTTATTCGCTTAGGTTACAAAATGCATGTGCCAGAAAGAAGAAGCTTGATAAAGAGGAAATTTTCCTCCAGATGCTGCCCAATTATTTTCTGCTGCTTTATACGGCATTGGGTTTGTAACACAGGCGCTTCTGTGCCAGGTCAGATCAGCAATGAATCCAACCTAGTGTCCTCTTTTTGACTTGGCTTGGTACCGGGTGAAATAACAGGCGGTTTGGTGGCATCCAGAAGACGATTCCTCTCCTTTCACTGAGCAGCCGAACTGCACCCTGGAGCCTGACTGTGTATTTGAAAAATTCTGTTGCCTGCATGGTTTAAATTCTCGTTGTTACTATTATTATTGTTCGATTGCCATCTCAGTGGTGATTTGCGATGAGATTCCACAGCCTAGTTCGGCACGTGGCAGCTTCACCAAATATTCATTTCCCTGTTTTTTGATGTTTTCAGTTCAGGCAAATGATCCTCTGTGTGTCGTTCGAACAGGAAGCGATGCAGTGCGTGGAGGAGCTGAGCGCCCAGAATCTGCTGCCTGTTTTTGTGCGGGTGGGAGTGGAGTCGACACTCGAGAGGAGCCAGATCACCAGGGATCACATGGGCCAGTTATTACATCAGTTGGTGCAGTCGGGAAAGCTGAGCAAGCAGGATTTCTTCAAGGGGTTTGTATTCTGCGCGTAGAAACGGGTCCTTTTCTTCAGCGTCCGTTGCAAATGAGCAGTGCTTGTGTTGGAGGGGAATGATTGCCCACCTTGCTTTTTTATCCTTCTCCACTCATCCTTTCGGAAGGAGCATTTCTGCCTGGGTGTATTCATAAGTAATAGAATTACTGTAATACGTTTTTAAGTATTTCAAATGCTTTGGTGAATGTAAATATTTTCGTATTTATTCAAGTATTTATTTCTAAGCAAATACGTTGGTGTGTATTTAAACGTGCATGTTTAGATTTCTGTTTCGTGATGCATTTGTCAATGTTTGCCTTTTGGCAAATCATTGAATACGATTAAAAGAGGAGGAAGACAACAAAAATCTTGGCGTGACGTTAATGCCTGGAAGCTGTCTCGCCTGAAGTCCTGGGCATCCACAGGACCCCAGCCACTCTCCCGCTGGTAAAAAAGGCTTTGCTGTTTCTCAGGACAACTCAGGTTTAAGGAGCGGAGATGTCCTGAAGGGGACAAGAAGGAGAATACGCACCAGGGCAGTATCGGATGGGGGGATCTGAGTTTCAGCTGCTGGTTCATTTCAGCTCTCTGGGTCTTGTGTTCCCAGCCTGAATTTGAACTGGTGTCCAGTTGTACAAGGATCCGTGTTCCCAAGGAGGTCCCTGGCACCGCTGAGCCCTCACTGGGGCTTAGAGCAGGATGATTAAAACAGGCGTAACCACGAAAAGCAGCCAGCGAGCAAGCAGATGAAATAATGCACCCAGATCCTGAGTTTCTGGGTAGTTTGCTCCATCTTGCTGCTTTTATTTGACTCACTGACCGCTCCAATGGTGGTCTCCCTGTGCCATGTCCGGCAGTGAATTTCATCGTGATGCAATCCACTGGCTCACAGGAAAAGTTTAGGCAGCCTGAAAAAAAAAATATGGAGCAGCAGTAAAAAATGTGTATCCACGGGGAGTACAGTTGTCTGTGTCCACACAGTCGCTGATGGTCAAAACGTCTCGTTTGAAGTGATACATTTCCCTAATGGATTGTGATTAAAGCCGTTCCTGTGTTTCCTGGAGTGTGGATAAGTGGTTGCGATGCCAAATAAGTAGGATCTTGATGAAATAGCGGGACGTGCGGTCTGAATGTGGCATAAACAAAATGAAAGCTCCTGAAGATGATGAAAGGGTAAGTGGTGTTCAGTGGGCACATGAGAAGAACGCTGAAAACCACTACACTTATTCACGCAAGACAAATTACCGTGTAATTAGGGGTTATGGGACGAGCACTGGTCACAGCACAAGGCTGGAGCGATACACAACAGGAAACCAATGTCTGGCAGAAACGCTTGGACAAACCTGGGTTGAACTGGTAGCAGAGGACACAAAGAACAAAGACAAGGAGACAGTTTCTGCGTTTGAAGCACAAGGGAAAAGACGCGTTTATAGTCGCTAAACTGGACCCCAGAATGTTCACAGTTTTGAGGGAGAGATTAATCATGATGAAAACTGGCAGAAGAGCCTTGTACCAGGCATGGGATGCTAAGCCACCTCCAAGGCTCTTATCGGAAAGAAGAGTTTTGAGCAATTCTGGAAACTTGAGTTGGGGAGCGATTTTTGTAATTCATCCTGCCACGTTCTCTGCTCCGGACGGAAGTCTCCCTCTGGTGTATTGAACGTTTTTTCTTGTGTTGTTTTACATAAATGCAGACATCTTGCTGACTACCTTACGTTTCGGCTTCTGTTGTTATTAATCCCCCTTCTGTGAATGTTTGGATTTTTTTTTTAAGGCGCCTCCATTTACTGGATGTTTTATATTTATAGACAAAAATGCTTTTTTTACTTTTACAGGTTTTATTAGTTAGCAAATGATTTGTTACTGGGAGATAAGAATTATTGTAAATGGAGCTTTCCTGGACGTAATCTGTTTTACAGAAGGCAGTGCCTTGTCCACTTACTTTCCATGTTAGCATGTGGAGAAATTCACTCCTGGCAGTTCTGAAGCACTGAAAAGCATAAGATGGAAAGGGGGGAGGGGGGTTGCTACCTTTGTGATTCTCACCCCTCCCTTCTCGCCCCTTCTCTCTTCTGTAACAAAAGATTTTTAAAGCGTAGATTTGCAAAAATTCAAGTTTCAAATTAAATTAATTTTAGCGCCTGACATTTTTCTTTCCTTTTTCTGAAGTTTTTCAGATACCTTGGAGATGGCGGATGACATGGCCATAGATATACCCCATATTTGGTTGTACCTAGCTGAGTTGGTGACCCCCATGTTAAAAGAAGGAGGAATCTCTATGAGAGAACTTATACAGTAAGCAATGCTGTTTCTTTCCAGCGTCGGTCGAGCGGAGCTGTCTGCCTGGCTGTGCTATGGTATTTTCACAGCGTGGTTCCCGTCAGTAGATAAAAGAGGAGTAGCGTTGGAGGCTCAGCTTCTCGTAGGAGTTGATAAAAGGCGTGCTGCACGTGGGACGGGAGCTTGCTGCTCTGTAGTCACTGTTCAGGCGTGAAGGGTTTATCCGTAAATCTACTTCGATCCTGTTTGTTTCGGCTGAGCTAAAAAACACCCCAGTGTTGTACGGTCAGAGTCATTCGAGAGCACGCTGAGGCTCTGAGAACTGGATTTGAGGAGAGCAGGGTATCGTGCAGTGTTCGTGTCTGAGTGTAATAACTCACCTGAGCGTTGCCTTAAATGGGCACAAAACCTTGCCTGCCAGGCTGGAAACTGTTTCTAGGACCAGAGTTTCTGTATTTTGTACGTGTCCTTACATATTTGGGGATTAACTAGAAGGCAATTGGACAGTTCCCTTTTCCTGTAAGTAGTGTGTTGAGAAAATAACAGCCTATCCCCCCAAAAAAGGGTACTGCTACCCAAATGTGGTGTCCCACAAAAATGAGCAGGTTTGACGTTGCATAAAAATAAAGCCTTTGTAGTTAGCCCTGTTGTGGCAAGCGCACTGTATCCCTGAAGTCTGGTTTTTCGGCGGTGCTAGCTAGACCTCATCCTTTAACCCCGGGAGAAGTTAAAGGTGGTTTCTTGCCTCGGTTAGATCACTACCCCTTGCCTTGCATTCCAAATTCAAATTATAAGAAAAAACACCTGGTTTTCTTTCATTCCAGAGAATTTAGCAAACCTTTGCTTCCTGTGGGAAGAGCCGGCGTCTTGCTTGCTGAAATCTTGCACCTTCTATGCAAACAAATGGTAAGTGTCCAGATGCACCCTTCGTAGATAGGAGCTGGAAGCAGCGAGTACCTGGTTATGCATGAAGCCTACACATTTCCCATGTGAAGATATTTAGGAACGGGCCGTCCAGTCCAGATAACCGAGGAAACCTGCCTCTTCATCCCCAGTTTCAAACCAAGCCAGACAAGGTTCCAAAAAGTTAACTTTTTTTTTTTCTTATCACTTTTCCCTTTTGCAGGTACCTTTGCACCTGGCTTCTTCCAGAAGCTAGAGTGCTGAAATAACGCAAGAGGGACATTCTCGAGGTATTTCTGGGCTGACCAGAAGCAGCAAGTGCCGAAATCTTGTGAGAGAGCTGTTCTTGCAGACCGGAGAGGTTCTGAGGGTTCGGATAAGCTTCAGGCAGCCTCTCAGAGTTCTGGGTGCTTATCCAAACTCACCCTGCCAACTCTTAAGATTCACCTGTCACTAGGGGTAGTGACACCTTTGCACCCTGTAACTTCTAGAGCTCTCTTACATATTTCACAGTTGTGTGTCCAAACAGTTTGGTGGTTTCCCTGCAGCTCTGTCTCCATTTTTTGTCTTTTTTTTTTTGTCTTTTTTCCCCCCAGTCCAGCTAACTACTGCACTTTGGACAGTGTCTATTTTAAACCCTGTAAAATCCCTCACTTGCCTTTTTTTTTTTCTTTCTTTTTTTTTAAAGCATGCATTCAAATATAGTTGAAAGTTCCAGGAGCATTTCAGCCTAGCAGCGCAAATAGTGACTTTTTATTTATTTATTTTAGCCTTATGCTTGTTTGGACAGTAGACTTCCATTTATTTTTCTCTTGTTTTTTGAAAGAAAAGCTACCGTGCTCTGGGGGTTGAAGCTTGGGTTTCTGTTTTGGGCAGTTTTCTAATTTGATCTTGTCCAGGCCAATACCTGGACGTATTTCAACATAGTATCAGTCATCTAATTCGGATCGTGATGAATCGTAGCAGGAGCTATGCACAATTAGCTCTTAACGATCTGCATTGTAAATTTAAGGTTGTAATCCCCTTTGTAAAGTAAAAATCAGGCTGCTTTTATCAGCGCTTAACTTGGGCTCCGCAGCGATCTCCCTTGTGCAGATGCTGTAAGGTGAAGGGTTTTGCAAAGCATTTGGGTGACAAGAACTGGTGATTATAAGTATTTTTATTCCTGTCAGAATTGTGTATGTGCCGTCTTAGGCAGGATACCAGGAGGTCAGCGTGACATTAGGGGATGCGGAAGGTTGAACTGTGCTACTTGAGGTTTGCAATGAATTCTAGGAATTGAAGGGTGAAGTTTGGTATTATGTACCTGAATTTGAGGCTTGATCTCTGCACAGAAAACAGCCACATAAATAATTATTTTTTGAAAGCAGCTAATTTGCCAGTGCCTTAATGTCAGGGCAGGGGAGAATGAGTCACAGAGTGAGTTAATGACAGAGTCAGGAGAAGAATCCAGGTCATCTAACTGCCAGCCCCATGTCACGGCCGTGGGAAACTGCCCTGTCCAGATGTGTCACTTTTCGTAGGTAATCTCTGGCTGAAGTTGTTGCAAACCCCACGTGTCACGTTCTGCCTTGTTTATTACCCATCACTCCGGCATTTGACCACTTGACCAGATGTGTGTACCTGTGGCAGGATTGCCTATATGATTTCTCTTGCACGGGATTTCCAGATGTTTTCACTTCATCTTGTTTGGTGGCTGAACGGTTCTTTATTTCTCCTGACACAGCTGCACCACTCCGGCTTGTGTAAGCTCCCCTGGTTGTCTCTCAAGTTTTTAAAATGCACAAACTGTTTGTGTTTTAGAGCCATAAGAAAGTGGGAGCCTTATGGAGGGAGACTGGCCTCAGTTGGAAGGACTACTTACTCGAAGGGGAGGATGTACATACCTTTCTCATGGAACAAGTGAGTTCAGAGCAAGCCGTTTGCTTCATAGTTTTGGCATGCTGATTTTTGGCCCCACGTCCCGGTTGTTCACCCTCTTCCCATCGCATCCTTATGTATAGCTGGTATGGGATGCAGGGTGAAGCGTCTCCCTTGCCAAATTGGGGTTAGATTATTTAAGCACCTCCTTCCTGAAGCGCCAGGAGGACAGGCTTGTCCCCTCCAATCCCAGGCACACATTTCCATCAGCTGGCTTCCTCTAGGAGATCTTTTTCTCCAGTGGTGGGGAATGAACTCAAAAATGAGTTTTGCAGCAAGGACAGATGATCTGCAGAAGGGCTGGAATAAATAGTAGCGATTATTCACTCATTCCACCTCGCATCATGATCCCGGAGGGTTTCACAACCGAGAGGAGCCAGGACTGGTGGAGGGCACCTTTCAGCTCTTGGCGGTCATGCTCCTAAGGCAGAAGCTGGAGGGTCTCCCTTTGGAGTTCCAAGTGATCCGCTGCCCCGTTTTAGCACTTAGGAAGAAATAAAACGGATTACCAAGGCCTGGGGCTTGGTGAGGGGGCTGTAGATCCTCTTGTCACATTTTGCAATTAATTGGGGCGTTAGCTGCACTTTCTTGGAGCGCATGCCAGCTCTGGTAATTGCATTCCAGCTCCCTGTTGTTTTAGTTGAGCAACGTGCCCTTTATTTTGTGCGCGCTCTAGCCCAGGGCTAGAGTTGCTCTGAGATGCTTGGTGTTGTCTTTGCCGGATGATGTAGTTCCCACGTGTTTGTAAAATGCTTTATAATTTTGGGGATAGAAAAAGTATATAAATTGTTGTAGTGGTAGCTTAGCAGTTGAAAGATGCCAGAAAGCAGAATGAAGCGTAGCTTGCTGCCTCCATTTGGTGTAATTCAGCGTAGGAAAGCACATTTAACTAATTCTCATCGTCACTTCTGATGTTGCAGAAGTTGGACTTCACGGAGTCTGACTGTTCCAGTTCCTCAGAAGCACTTTCAGAGAAAGAACTCTCTGCAGAAGAGCTGAACAAGCAGCTAGAAAAACTCATCGTTGAGGACAAGGCAAATGATGAACAAATCTTTGACTGGGTAGAGGTACAAAGACTATTTTCACCCTCCCTGCACACAGTTTGTTAACTGCTTTCGTAAATAAGTTCTCATCTAAAGGAGCGTCTCTGCAGGCTCCTCCCTAGGCAGAGGACACTAAGACCATTAGGTCTGTGCAGTCGACACTTGCAAAGAATTAAAATCTAAAATATAATCAGCCAGTTATTTCAAAGTGAGCTTTAGGAAGAAAGCGTTTTAGCCATATTAACTGTGTAGCTGCCTTTTAAATACTGCAGGCTTTTTGACTCTGAAAACACTGCTTCTGGCTACTTACTGCATTTCAGGCCAAGTACACTGCTACTTTCTTTCTTCCCAAAATATGGGATGAAAGCATCTCATCGCTTTTTACAGCATGAGCAATGCAAATTTCCCCCCGCCCAACTGCAAAAACATCCTGGGCAGTCACTGAGGGCACCTGTACCCTTCCCGGTGCGTTGGGCCAGGCACTGTAAGAGAAAATAAAGAAAAAGAGAAAAAAGAGAGGGGAAAGAAAAAAGAAAAAAAAAAAAAAGCCCTGTCAGCCCACTGTGATCTTTTTGTCCTCTATCTCTGGCTGCATCCTTTAAGCCAGATATTTAATCTAGGGTCTGAAATTATACCCAGCCTGATTCATTTAGATCTGTGCTTGCAGCTAAATCTTGGTCAGCTTCACTTCAGTGATTTCTGTCGCTGGAGCAGTGTGTTACAAATGTCATTTGTCTGCTGCCATTAGAGAATTCAAGAGTGGAACTGAAATTTGGGGACACCCACAGGCTCTTGGACAGGTTACGTAGCCATTCTCTGAATTTCTTCTACAAAGCAAACAAATCTCCACCCAAGGAGCATGCTGTAAAATTTGTTGAAAAAGCCTAAAAATCTTAGAAAACATATAAGGGCGTTGTAAAAGCCAAGCGTTGTTGGTTTGGTTTGTTTCTTGAGAGGAATGACTAGGTGTGGAGTAGTTCAACGGCGTATCCCTCGCACGAGAACTCTTCTCCCTGTCATACCTGAGCTAGTGTCCAGAAGCGAATGGGAAAGCTGAGCTTTGCAGAGGGGGGAACTGGGTTTCAACCGCAGCCGCTTTTGCTGAACTTGAACTTGCTGCCAAATTTCAGCAGTGGAGTTTGGAAGCGGTTGCGCTCCTGCGGCGACATGTTTTTCACTGGTCCATTTACTCTTGATTTCAGGCTAATCTAGATGAAAGCCAGATGAGTTCACCTACATTCCTTAGAGCTTTAATGACAGCAGTTTGTAAAGCAGCTATTATAGGTGAGTAACTTGCAATGTAGACACCATACAAACCAGACGTGCAAAGAATTATTTTACATTTTTCAGGTTTATATCACTTTTCCTTCCGCCGAGGCTGTTTTTTATCACACACTAAGATTTTTGCACCACACTGAATTCTTATGTGCTTGAGAGCAGGATGTCCGTTCCCCCTGCAACAGCCGGGTGCTTCACCTGTTGCGGTGTTTCTCGATGCCCTGGCGTGTCCCGGTGACCTTGCGTGAGCAGCCGTTTCAGATGAGTCTGAGTAATGCCAGATTGTTCATTCATTTTTCTAGTGAAGGTGGAAATGCGCTAGACGTTATTAAGATAATCAGTATTTCCACTCCTGTGTCAGCAAGTACGCGTGGGCACGCTACCATTGCAGATTGCCACATGCGAGGCGGAAGCGTGGGTTGCAGAAGAGAAGCCAGGCTGCATCTCTGTCTCATTAATAGTTTGATATCCAAAGTTGTAATTTTGGAAAGATGGGTTGTGTGGATTACTCATATGTACGGCCGTCAGCTGGAAATGGAGGAAAGGGTGGGATCCCAGGTCAGACGCGTGAGCCTCAGACCCTCAGGGGAGCTTGAATAAAGCGCTGCAGCCAGAAACATCTGCTCAGTTCACTTTGTTTTCTTTAATTTTACTGCTGGCAACTGGCAAAGCAAAAACTTGCACTCGTAAAGCAGCCGGTTCTGCTCTTAGCTTGAAAGTCACACATGGTGGAGAGAGCAGCCTGAACTGCATCTTGTGGCAGGGGGAAAAGCAGCAGCCCAGCTCCTTTCTTCTCCCTGAGAACCGAACCCTTCTGGTGCCACCTAGTGTTAATGGGAGATGGGACAGGGCTTGAGGACGGGTGTTTAAGGGTTCCCTGATGCCTATCAGGAACATCTTCCTCTGTTTTACATTGAGGTTTTTTTCCTTTTGTTTTCAAAATATCACTTAATTGTGTTGCACGATCTACTTAAAAGCTGCTGAATAATTTATCCATGTTGCTGTCGAACTTCTAATGCATATTTTTTTATATAATCCTTATTCCCTATGTCATGTGCTGCTTATGATTCTGTTCCTGCCTTAGTATTTTTAGGAAAAAAAGTACAATTTTCTAAAATCCTTCTATAGAACTGAAATTTTAGCCCTAGCCATTGTACACGCTTTGAACATCCAGTTGTCTGTGGAAACACAACGATTTGCACTGCGAAGTGAGGCTGGAATTCTTCGGGATGTGTCAGCAGGCTGGTTAGGGCCAGGGTCGCTGCAGATAGTGGTTGAATTTGGGGAACTGGAAGAACCAAGACTTCCAGAAAAAGCCATTGGTCAGAAATACTTGTTTCTCATCCTCTTTCCTCTCCGCGCTAACCTGTATCTGTGATTTCTATTTGAGTAAATAAAAGCAGTAAAAGATCTGCCCCTGCTGCTGTGTACCAAAACTGACCCTGTTTTCTTCTCTTCCCCTCAGCGGACTCTTCTAGCTTCTGTGTGGACAATGCTGTTATCAAACAGAGGGTGCCGATCTTACTCAAGTACCTAGACTCAGACACAGAGAAGGAACTACAAGCACTTTATGCACTACAAGCATCAATAGTAAAACTTGATCAGCCTCCTAGTAAGTGTTGCCTCTGTGCTGGGGATTCGAACCCTGATGGTATAAGGAAAGGTTGTTTCTGTGAGAGTAAAGTCTAAGTGGTAGAAACTGGAAGGGGATGCACTTTGCCTTACCTCTGTACCTAGCAGATGAGAGAGAACAGTGTACAGTGGTTTCTGCTTGCCCACATTCCAGCTTTTAGAGCAGTGCAGGTCCCCAAGTGCATGGCCAGAGGCCGGTTCTTCTCCTGGTTGCTCCTGTAAGCAGCCATGCAGAAGGGAAGACAGACCTCTGCTGATAAAAAGAAAGGGAAAAAAAAAAAAAAAAAAAAGAGCAGTAAAAAACAGTCTGTTGCAATATACAATACCTGGACATGTGAGAGGACCGGGCGTTGTAATTGCATTGATGCACCATAGATGTCTGTGGACTTGGAGGGAATGAAATGAGTTGGACAACTGAGGAGTCCTGTCCCAGAGACACTGCAGAAAACTTCTGTTGGCAAAGATGCGAGGGAGCTGCCGAAGGGATTCCTGGGGAGTCCGCAGCAAAAAAATCGGAGTGTCCAAAACCACCCGACATGATCATCCTTAGGTTTAAGGCACTCGTTGTCCATTATCCCTCCTGCTGAGCTGGGAGAAATCAGGTGTTGGAGAGGAGCCAGGCTGCCGGGTTGCACAGTCCAGTGGGAGGAGGATGGACTGCTGTGGATTCTGTTTGCCAGCCAATCCCTAGATAATATGTTCCCACAGCTGCTTTCCCAGCTTTCCCTTTTCCACAGTTACCCGACGGCATCCAAAGGACCTGTTGTCCCTCTCAGCTGTATGTAAGCAGCCAGGAAGCAATAACTCAGTAACAGACCTTCCTTTTACTTGTATCTGCATCTCTTGCATTAAAGGTCACGTTAATCCCCTTATCCGTAACTGCATCTTTGTCCGCTTACTTAAACTGCACAG